TTCCCCCACCTTTTATTTATACACTCTGTATAACTCTGGGTTGTTTATTTTTTTTAAAAGGAGTATAAAAAGACTGCAGAATGGGGATGAAGGGCAGAGAGGAGGGGCAGAAAACTACCTAATGATGCAATGAGCACTATTCTGGTGATGGGCACACTTATAGCCCTGACTCGAGCATTGCAAAAGCTATCTGTGTAAGAAAAAATTTGTGCCCCCTTAATATTTTGAAAATAAAAAATAAAATACTAAAGCTGTTTTAAACAAATAAAAAGACAGCAAACCATAGGCAACTTCTCAAGTGGGAGAAGCACCAGGGAGCTGTCCATTCAGGACCACAGAGCTGAGTGTCCAGTGTGTGCTACTGGCCTCTGTCAACGCATCACCCATCTCTATCTTTTTCTTAGCCCATGGTCCACCCACACACCCATCTACCTACACATCGATCTATCACTCACTGCTCTGTCAACAGTGTGCTTGATAGTGTCCCTTTCAAAATATATGTCAAAATCTTAACCCCCAGAACCTGTGACTGATCTTATTTGGAAACAGGGTCTTTACAGACATAAGTAAGGATATCTTAAGATAATATATTGGATTTAGGGTGGGCCACAGATACAGTATCTGGTATCCTTACACACAAACACACAAGGGAGAGAGCCAGGTAAAGCTGGAGGTAGGGACAGATGCTTCCACCAGCCAAGGAACACCAAGGAATGGCTTTAGAGTCACCAGAAGCTGGAAAGGCAAGAAATGAATCTTCCCTAGAGTCTTCAAAAGAAGGGTGGCCCTACAAACACTCTGATTTCAGAATTCTGGCTGCCAGAACTATGAGAATAGATTTTTGTTATTTTAAGTCCCTGTGTTGCCGGTGACTTTGGTCATCTGCCTGCAGCCCAGGGAGACTGAAGCGCTCCCCATCCTGCCAGCCGCCTCCGGCCTTCTCCCCTTCTGCCTGCCCCCATCTCCACCCACACTTTCCTCCATCATCTCTCATTGATCATGCACCCAGCCTCCTCACTGTTCCTCCACTGTCTCCCTGTCACTGGGGAGCCCACACCCGCACTCCTGAATCTGGGTCTGAGTGTCTTCCAGGAGAGCTGCCCCTAGCCGGGGCCCTCTGTGTGGAGTGGGCCTGGGGCAGACATAGACTAGCACTAGCACCAGCAGCCCCTGGCACACAGCCTCTTGTCCACAGCACCCCCATGGATACAGTTACCATCTATCCCTACATCTAACCACCCGATCATTACTTGCTTGTAAACTATTATTGATCCACACAGGGAGGTGCTCAATTCTGGGGGTACAGATACGACTTTGACACACAGTCACTGCCCCCTCCACTTGAGACACACGTGGCTAAGGATCTATATAGGATGTGCTAAGGTACAGGTAGTCTCTACTGGTTTGGACATCTGGGAACTCTACAAGGCCCCCTTTGTTCCCCATTCCCCCCACCCCAGTCTCCCTCTCTGACCAGGCCTCCACTGCCAGGAGCCAGGCAGTGCAGGGGTATGGGGGAACAGAAGTCCTGGGGTCATGCTGCCAGGCTGGGGTTCAGGACTGATGACTCTAGGTGTCTGGGCCTGAGAGTGTGGGACTTGGTCACATTCCTCTGGCTGCTGGGGCAAGGGGGATTCCAGGGGCTCTTGGGCCCAAAGTTTATAGAACACAAGCAGTGCCTTGAGTGTGGACACTGAGCTCACATGTGCAAGTGTGTGTGTAACTGGGGAGGCAGTTAGAGGATCTGCACAGTGGTGGAAGCCTCTGATGCATTCTTTCCTGGAAGAAAGGAATCTGTGCACATAGCTGCAAGAGGAGGTGGCCCCGCAGGCAAGCGTATGACATATGCATACTGCACGTGAACGTGCACAAGTTATCCCAGCTGAGACACAGGAGCAGGACTCAGCCTGTGACCAGGATCAGAGCTCAGTGTGTGGCCAAGATTAGGGCTTAGTGTGCAAACAGGATCAGGGCTCAGTCTGAGACCAGGGTCAAGGCTCAGTGTGTGACAGAGTGAGGGCTCAGTGAGCGACCAGGATCAGGGCTCAGTGTGATCAGGGCTCAGTGTAACCAGGATTAGGGCTTAGTGTACAACCAAGATCAGGCCTCAGACTGTGACCAGGGTCAAAGCTCAGTAAGTAAACAGGATCAGGGCTTAGTCCCTTGACCAGGGTCAGAACACAGTGTGTGACCACAGTAAAAGTCCATCTGACTGAGATCAAGGTTCAGTTATGGAGCATAATTCTGGATTTAAGACAGTGGTCCTAAACCTTCCTAATGACGTGGCCCTTTAATACAGTTCCTGTGGGTCGTGACCCCAGGTTGAGAACCACTGATCTAAGAGGTCACTATTTCTCAGCAGATGGTCACTGATGGCCTCATACCCCTTTCCCCTATAAACCACTGCACTGTCCACATATCCCTCTCTGCCACAGGACTCGTCTTCATGTTGGTGCACAAAAACATAGGCCCACTCCCCAGTGCATGGGTGGAGGCAGACCCAGGGCTCCTCTCAGCCAGTTCACAGGGCACCCAGTGGCCCCAGGAGCTATGGAGGGTGGGACACCCAACTCTGAGCAGTGGGAGGTCATGGGCAGGAGGAAAGGGCTGACTCCCCATCTGCCATGACCCACTCTCTTAGATCCCAGGCCGCCTGGTCCCCAAGCTGATGGCCTCAGTCAGCACACTGGGTCCCCAACAACTCAGAAGCAGGAGGTGCAGTCAGAGCCCAGGCTGTGTCAGGAAGCCCACGGGGATGGTGGGTATGGTGCTGCCAGGCCCTGCTTAGGCTACACTGGTACCTTCCTCCTGTCCTTAAGGCCCTGAGCCCCCAGGTATCAAGACTTTCACATTCTAGCTCATCTAGCTAGTGACTGGGACAGGTGGGTCCTGGGGTGTCCCCCCACACCTGTGGAAGGAAGAGCAGGCCCTGCCAATGCTCGAGGATGTGGCCACAGTCCTCTGTCTACCTTGACCCCTACTGGAAAGCAGTAAGATTCTGGCCATAGGACAGGAAGTGGAGGCTGCAGGGGCAGGATCTACCCACAGTTATACAGCATGTCCTCTTGGCCATAGCTGGGTGCCTAGGGCCGTGTCCTGGACCCAGCAGGGCTGGCCAGGCCTTTCACAGCCTGCTGCCCAGGGGGCAAAAGGAGATGATGGATCACTCCTTTCTCAGAACAATTTACTACCAAGAGCTGTCTGGTCTGGGGACTCGACCCTGAGGAACAGTCAGAGGCATGGGCAAAGCAGCCGTCCAAGGATGCTGTCCCATAAATGTTTAGCTTAATGGGAAGCAGGGAGGCTCCCTAAGGCCACCAGGAGGGACCGGCCCTAGGAGCTACTGCTTGGGAACAGCTCCAAGAGTGGGCTCTGGGCTATGGGGAGAGGCTGTGGCAGGGTCGGGGCAAGACGGGGGCAGCCCATAGCCTCCACCCTGGAAATACAAACCACAGGGGAGGCCTGTGCAGTCTCCTGGACCACCAGGGCTTCTTTTTCCGCCCTTTTCTGATTTCTCTCTTTGGATAAAGAGCTTGCAATACTTGTAAAACCCAGAGTAAAGATCAATAGCCAGAGAGCTGCCCCTAGGCTATTGGCCAAAGGAAGGGCCAGCAGGGGCCACCCAGTAGGGAGGAGAGGTCGTGAGGGCAAGGTACAGGCTGCACACTCCTGCCTTAGGGCCTAGGCGGCCCCTACCTGCACAGGGTTGGGCCAGCCAGGCCTCTGCTCAAAAGAGGCACCCATGCCCCTGCTTGGAAAGGCGCAAAGCCCACCCAGTCCTGCTAGCTCCATTTGCTGGGACATGCATGACCTGACATCACAGTTTTCCTGGTCACTGTTCCTCCTCACTAGGGAGAGGAGGAGGCTAAGGGCAGGACCTCCTAGAGCAGTGAAATTCCCAGGGGTCAGAAATCAACAGAGGAAGGACGGCAGGCTATGGGTTGATGGTCTTAAGAGTGGATGGATGTGGCTGATGGGGGTGGCCACCCAACCCCACAACAGCCTCAACCATTTGGCCTCTCACCATATTGCAGCCCTTCACCCCTGCACCCACCCGTGCCTTTCTTGGAGCCTTAGCCTCTCCATCACGGCAGGGCAACCCCACTTTCCTGCAGCAACAGACATTCTGACACCTTCCCTGAGCCCCTAGGACACCCAGCTGTCTGCGTGCCCACCACACGAGGGACCACTGAGTGTGCCACCAATGCCCAGGTGGCCACATTCATTCCTTGGGGCACAGGGAGGCCTTGGGCCAGCAGGACTCGAAGGATACACAGCAGCAGGAGGCAGGTGGCCAGTGACCAGACCCTCCCTGATGCTTGCCAGAGCCCCAAAGGGTAAGCAAGGCCCAGCCCCCTCTCCTCAAATTCTATCTCAGCTATCCCTGGGGGTACTCACGGTGGGGGCCTCTGGCAAGACGCTTCCCTCTGACTGAATATGGCCCCTTCCCGCCCCCCCCCCCACAGCCTCACTCTGGCACTCCCACATGGGGCCCCTGATCTCGGCTCCCCTCACCTCGTCCTTGCTATACCTGAGGCAGCTGCCACCTAACATTCGCCTGCTAAAGAACTGAGCTGAGACCACGTGGCCACGCAGCATGGCGAGGTCCCCAGGAGCCCGCACCCCATCTGCCTACCCTGATCCTCTAGTCATACCCAAAGCTGCCCCCATCGGCTGTGGCAATGCTCCCCAGCTCCTGGGCGCCTGGCACGCACCCTCAGACCCAAAGGCCAAGATGAGGGCAGGCCATGCCTATCACCTCACCCAGGGTTGCCTCCATGCCCCCTCCTCCCCTCACTGCAATTTCCTGGAAGGGAGGTGGGAGACCAGGCATGGGTTCTCAAGCAGATCTGGGCAGGGACAGTGGGGAGGACTGAGCCAGTCCACAGATGGACCAGGGTACCACGATTCCCAACCTAAAACTCACATCTCCCTGCCACTGGTCAGCTCCCTGGAGCCCACCCCAGAGCCCCAAAGCCATGAAACCCTGGTGAACTTACACATCTGTCTCATCCCACAGGATACAGGTCTGGTTGGTGGTGCCCTGGGAAAGATGGGGAGAAATCAGGAGGGCCCACCACGACTAGCCCCCACCCACTGGTCACTGCTAGGACCCACCCACAGGTTAGAAGGTGCTCAGCCTCACTGGGCCCCCAAACATGGAGAAAACTGAGCCCAGTGCAGATCTGGGAGTGGCCCAAGGTCCCAGGGCCTGGCCTCCTTCCCACCACCACTGCCCACTGTATGGCCTTGGTAGTTCCTGTCCACTCTCTGAGGCCAGGTACTATGGCAGCCTGGGCAGCAGGGACTGGAACCCATCTTCCCTGATGCCAAGCAGGGTAATGGGAAGACTCCTCCCTGGGCAGAATGAGCAAGGGTTAGGTGGGCATTCAGTGGGGCCTCAGCAAATGCCACTGTGCTGTTCTGATGTCTAAGGTCCTACTGGCTAAGTCCAAGAGTGTGCTCTGGGATGCTGCCTTTGCCAGGCCTGCTGGGCACCGGTGCTGCCAGGAAGGGCAGTCACAGCAGCACGGACCAGCGCTCACGAGGGCAGTGCTCCAAGCACTCACAGGAGCTGCTCAGTCCTCGCTCAGGCTCATCTCTTCACATGTGTTAAGGCAGGAAGCCTGGCAGAGGGAGGTGGGAAGGACAGGGCAGATTTCTTCCCTTGACTCCTCACAATCCTGGCCTAGGGCTCTGGTTCTCAGCCTACCCAGGGGGCATCTTGGCTCCTATTCCTCTGAGGTTTTGGGGGACCCCTGAGGAGCAGAGCCCAGAATGAGCTATAGGAGGCCCTGAGTGAGCCTGATAGCACCCACAGGCCCCACAGAGCCAGGAACCAAGGTTGCCACCACCTGGTACACAGCCAGGCATACACCTCAAGAGATTGTGCCTGTCTGAGGGCACGTGGTAGCACTGACCCAGACCCCAGGTGCCTATCCTAGGTGGTTCTGGGAGGATGCTTTCACACTAAGATCTTTGGGAGCCTGCAGGGTTAGGCCTGGTGTCCACCCCGGGGGAAGGGAGTCAAGAACCTGGTGGGAAGGGAACCAGGGCTGGAAAGTGTGCAGGGGGCAGGAAGTGCAGGTCAGGCTCTGTTGCAAAGGGGTGCCCCTCTTTTCTCTGGGGAACAAGCAGGCTAAGAAGCTGAGAGAGGAGTGGTTGGACCCAAGAATGAACTCAGATGTAGGTGAACCTGCTCTGTGACCCTGGGCAAGTCATTGTACCTCTCTGAGCCTCAGCTTCTCCAACTTTCCTGCCTCGAGGCCCCAAGGCATTACTGCCTAAGAAGTGTGATAGGAATTTCATGAACACAGGTGTGCATACAAGTGCACACACAGAGGACACTCACATTGTACATGTGGGCAAATTCAATCTCCAAGGGTGTGCGCAGGGAGCGAGGAGGGGGCTTCACAGTCACAGAGATGACCTTGGAGTTCAGGACAGTCGTGTTCCTGGTGGGAAGCCAGAGGAGCAGAGCTCATCGGAGACCAAGCCCTGAGGAGCCCATGGTCGTCCTCTGATGCTCACATAGGGCTCTTGCAGCCCTGGCCACCCTCTGTACCCTGCCCATTGTCCCCATCTCCTCCAGGCTCCCCCCAACCTCCCCCATCTCCTGTGGCTGGGGTTCTGTACACCCTGCCCACCTAGCATTGCCCACCTCACCTCTGCAGGGCCAGGAAGCTGCCAAGGTTTCGGTAGAGCACAGTGCCCACCACAAACACAGACGAGTCATCAGCCTCTGGAAGAGAGCACACTGTTATCTCTCTACTGCAGCTGGGTGGGGCTTGCCTGTGTGGCTTGAAACCTGCCCTCCCTCCATGGCCCTAGCTAGTAGGGAGGCCTGTCCCCACACCCCATCGCAGCACTGAAGCTGGGGAGCTGGGGAGCTGGGGCAATGGCCTGGTGAGAGCTGTGGAGCGGGCCAGACAGGGCTTCTCTTCCCAGGTGCCAGTCCCTGCAGTGTGACTCCAGAGTCCTTGTCCCTCCCTGCAGGGAGGTGGTCCAGTTCATCCCATCAGCAGACTGTCTGGGCCATGGGGTTGACCATAAGTCCTGCCACCAGGGAGGGGAAGGAGGGCCTCCTGGAGAAGGGGACCACCTGGAGCAATGAGAAGCAGCGGGATGCTCCCCTCTGGGGGCAGCAGGCTGGACTCCAGAAGGTACTTCCCAGGGTGGGGACACTGCTCTCCGGGATAGCCCTCCCCACCCACTCTCACTCTCCAGGGTCCTCACCTGGGAGCCCTGTGGAGAAGACACTCTTGGACACAGTGACCCTGTCCTCTGGCACCCTGGCCCAATCGCCTGTGGCCCTCCAGCCCTTCATGGGAAGGCTGACATCTGTGGCTCCACTGGCTGGTAGCTTGTGGATGCTGAGGACTGGGCAAGACAGAGACAGAGGTCACACACCTGGGCCACAGCTGTGGGGGCTGGAGAGCAGGCATGGGTATGCAGGCTGATGCTGCAGGGGTAGGTGGGCTGTGTCCTTGACCTCCGTGGGCTGCAGAGCAGGGGCAGCAAGAGGGGGTGAGTGCAGGTGAGGTCGGACCTGACTCTTCAGGACCAGGGCTTGTTCGTGGGCATCACTGACACCGCTGCCCCCTCCCTCCCCCACTCCAGTGATACCCACGAACAAGCCCTGGTCCTAAAGAGTCTGACCTGTCAGGGGTCCTGCGGCGGCCCCCAGGAGCACTCAGGCCCTGTTTCGGCCATGCCTAACCTCATGGCCTGGAAGGTGATCAAGGAGGATTCTGGGGTGTACTTTGTGGCTAATAGAGAGGCCCACCTCTGTGTCCCCCTGCAGCGCCAGGATGCAGGTGCCTAGCTGCCCCCTCCAGCTCTGGCCTCTTCACACACTCCCCTGCACTGTAGGGCTAGAAGGGGATGGGGCAGCCCCTCCTCACATGAGCTGCACTGGGAGGGCTCCCCAAGCTTCCTTTCCTGCTCTGTGAAGGGTCCCTGAACTTAGGGTGGAGAAGCATGGGTGGTGAGGGGTGTGGCTTTGGGGAGAGCCTAAGGGGACATGCAGCTAGGGAGGAGCGCTGCTGGAGATGTCCCCCAACCCCTCCTACTGGGAGCCTGGCCCATACAGGCCCAATGAGCTCCTTCCTGGAGAACATAGCCCAGGATGGGCTCCCTCTCTAGCCTCAGAGGGGGCCTGAGAGGCTCCCTGACACCCATGGCTCCCCAAGTCTGGGTGCAGGGGTGATGGGGCAGCAGGCCTGGGAGAATAAGGCAGGGCAGACAGCAGTAGTCCCCATGGAGAGGCTCCGTGCCCTCTCACCAGCAGCCCATGTCAGATTCAGGGGCAGAGGGGCTCCCGCCAGGCTGTCTTGCCTTACCAACCAACACTGGCACTGCCTTGCCTGGACTTGTGTGGTCACCTCTGTGGACTAAGGCAGCTTTCCCACAGGAACCCTGGGGGGCAGGAGCCCAGTGCCCCAAACACAGCAGCCCTCACTGCAGTGTGCTTCACCAATGGGTAAACAAACGAACGAAGCCTTTCACTTGGTGCACTTACTTAGCACCTACTGTGTGCCAGGAACTGCACATGGAAACCTCTCCTGGAGTTGCCAGGAGAAGGGGGACAGACAGAAAGCCAGGCAGAGGGAAAGAGATGGTACCTGGTCTTCTGGGCAGTGGAGAGGGGACACTTCCAAACAGGGAGGTAGGGAAGTGCTCCCTGGAGAAGTGACCTGTAGATGAAGACCTGGGGAAGGTGGGGCTGCTCACTGGATAGGCGCCCCTGGGCGGGAGTGGGGGACTGAGGGGGCAGCGGTACCAGGAGTGCCTTGTGCTTGCGAAGGACCTGGTGGGGCACCAGGGGCTGACCATGGAGCTCTGCCCTCTAGATGTCCCCATGACCCTGATAGAAGCAGAGGGTGCCCTTGAGAGGAGGGGCAGGCACGCAGTCTGGCAGTGAGGAGGAGGGTGTGCAAAGGGCTGGGGGGAGCAGGGGCAGAGGAGGTGGCTGGAACAATGTCCTTGGACAGACAGAGGTGAGAACCCAGGGCACAGGGCTGCTGTGAGAACAGTGGAGGGTGGAGTGCAGACATAGGTGTGGGCTGGGCAGGGGTGCGTGGGCTGCCCTCTCCCTCTGGCCTCCAGTGCTCAGCAGCTAATGGTGGGGGTGGGTAGAGCCGCGGCCTGGAAGGGCAAGTGAGAGGCTGATAGCTGATAGCGGGGTGAGCAGGTCCTGTGGGACACGCCCAGAGCCACTAGGCGTGTCCTGCAGAAGCTCCTGCTGGAAACAGAATCCCCAATTTGCATGTTATGATTTTGGGGATAGGGCCTTTGGGAGGTAGTTGGGATTAGATGAGATCATGAGGGTCCCTCAAAATGGCACCAGGGGCTTTACAAGAGGAAGAAGAGAGACCCGAGCAGCCAACTGGCTCAGGTTCGCCTTGTACCGGCTTCTGCAGGGGTGACTCAGTAAGAGGCCCTCGCCAGCACCACGCCATGCCCCTCCACTACTCTGGGTCCAGAGCCTTGCGCCAAATCAATCCTGTTCTTTTCAGACTACCTCTTCCGTAGCAGTCACAGCAACAGAAAGTGGGCAGACAGCATGAGGTGTGCAGAGAACTGGGCCAGCAGGGGCCTGGGGTGGCTGGCTCATGACATGTAGGCTACAACAGGTGGCAGAATGGAAGGGTGATGAGGGGTGACCAGGAGCCCAGGCCCTGAATGTCCATTGGCTCAGAGTGGCACCCCACGGCAGAAACAGGTCCTGGGCCATGCTGGGTGCCTAGGCAGCCACTTGCTACAGTGACGTCCTGGCCAGCAAGGCCGACGGCCCATCCTGCACCCTTCCTATGGGACCATGAGTACCTCACCTAGAACACGGGGCTGAGGAGGAAGTTAGCACCTGGAATGCTGATGCTGGGCTGACTCCCCTGACTGGGAGACCTCTGACAGACCGTGAGGTGAGGGCTGGCCCAGGCAGCATCAGAGGTGTCTCAGCTCTGGGATCCTAAGCCCCTAAAGTGGAAGGTAAGGCCAGCACTCCAGCCTCCGGCTTAGAAGACATGGGAATGTTTGTCTGGCCCAGGACAGCTCTGTGCCTACCTCCACTCAGGCATTACCAGGGCATATGTGCTGACAAAGCTCAGCTGACCTTGGTCACATCACTAGAGGCAAAGTGTCCCATAAGAGAGGTGACAATTTTCCTCCTTGGTGCTATCTGGGTCACAGCTATGACGGGTGCCCACTCCTGGGTCCTCTACTATGAAGGAGTTTGGGACGGGAAGGTTTGGGAAATGTGCCCCATGAGAGGTGTGACAACAGCTGCATGCTCCTCCAGGCCCCAGGCACCATCCTCCCCTCCCTGCATCCCCTTCAGGTGGCGCCATCATCCCCTCATTTCAGAAATAAGGAACCTGAGGCCCTCTAATGAGGTGCTTCTGGGACCCGGACGGGGCCACACAGTTCTGCCTGCAAACCTCAGGGAGGGGCCAAGGCTGCCTGTGCACAGACCCCAAGGAGTCCCAGAGATCAGGGTGTGGTCTGGGCTGAGACTAGGAACTCCCTCATCAATCCCAAGACTTGGTCTGTGTAACCCAAGTGGCCCACAGGGCATCTGGTTGCTGCCTCTATGTTGATGAGGAGACTGAGGCAGAAGGGCCCTGCCCAGGGCTGCAGAGCAAGGCGTGGGGGTGAGCAGAGGGAGGGGTGGACTCACCCAGGTTGTCTGTCACCTGGTATGCATCCCTCAAGTCCTTCATACGGAAGCCGATGACATCCACGAAGTCCTCCACCAGCCGGAACAGCTCCCTGGCATTGGGACCCATCTGGGGAGCAGGTGTGGTGAGCAGCATGGAGGACACGCCTCACGGCTCTACAAGGCCACTCACATGCCTAGCTGGACACATGTCGCCTTCCCCAGCCCTCCACCTCCCTTCCTACTTACTCCTCTTTCTCCAGGTGCTCTTGGTCATTTTCTGCCACTCAAGGCAGCAGAGCTGGTGACCTCTGTATACCCACCACTACTCTCTGGATGACAGCGTTAAAGCCCAGTGGGGCTGCTCTGGCCCAGTGGGGGGCCCAGGCTGGGGGAGGCCTTTGGGAACCAGAGGACCACAGATGTTGCCCTGCTGACAGGAGTAGCAGCAGGTTCAAGGTGGGCCTGGGAGGAAAGGTGGTAGAGTGCTCCACCCCAAGAGAAAGAACCACCAGGTCCTTAACTTTCCCACCACCACTCTAGCCTTACAAGATGAGCTTCTGTCCTTTGACACATTAGGAAACAGAGGCTCAGTTTATGTGACTCAATGTCACTTTATGTGACACTCAATGTGACTTTATGTCACGCAATGGGCAAGAAGCCATGCTGGGATTTGAACCCAGAGCCATCTGCAGTGCCTAGTGGGGCCTGACTCCAGGAGAGCCTGTGATGTCCAGGCACCAGATATGCCTATACTGGTCCTGACCCTGCTAGCCCAAGGACCCCACACATGTCCATACCAGCTGAGCCTCCTCCCACTTGTCCCGGTTCTCCTCTGCCAGCAGGTTGCTGATGATCTGGACAAAGTTCTGGAAGGAAGAGGAAGAAGGTTCCAGTGAAAGAGAAGAAGCAGCAGGATCAGGGCTCGGTATGCGACAGGATCAGGGCTCAGCTTATGACCAGGATCGGGGCTCAGCCTGTGACCAGGATCAGAGCTCAGCTTGTGACCAGGAATGCAGTCCAGGCCATGGCCTGTGTTGGGACTCAGCCTCTGGATGGGGGTTCCAGGATGGCTCCCTAGTCCCTCTCCCAGCTGACCCTCCTCCAGAATGGTGCCCTGGGAGCCTACCTGCACATCCCCCGGGGTGGGGCTGTAGTATGCCCTCCGGAATATCTCTGTCATATTCCTTAGGACATCAATGGTGGAGAGCAGGTCCCCGCTGTAGCTTGTCCCATCCTGGGAGATCTCCACCAGTGTCTGGATGACCTCTGAGACCCCCTCCCCAGGCAGCCCTCGCTGAGCCTTGGCCAGATGCTCTCGGGTCTGGGGAGGGTGGAGAGGGCTGGATGCCATCACCTCTGCAGGACATGTCCAGGCAGGTACCAAGGACCTCCCATGCCTAGAGAACCCTCTGCAGTGCCAGCCTCATGTCTAAATAGTGGGTGTGTCATGGGACCAGAGCTTCTAGGGGACAGGGCAGAGGACTGGCCTTGGAGGTATGGGGACAGGGCTGGAAACCCCAACACCAGCCCTTACCATCATCTGAATGTTTCGGTAGTCGATGGAGACACAGCGGATATACGTGGGGGTCTCCCAGTAGGCAATGCCTTCCTCGTCCAGCTCACAGCGTCGCAGAATGAGGCCTGGAGAGACCTCCCACTTCTCAGGCAAGATGCTCAGTGCCCAGCACAGGAACCCCACCCAGGACTTTCAGGCAGGAGACCTCAGGATAGGATGTTCTGGCCCCCTGGGACAGGCTGCCCATAGCCTCACACCAAGAGGCACAGTTGGTACAGGACTAGGCTGGCTTCACTTCCTCCTTCAAGGAGGACACCTGTACCAGGTGCTGGGACTCAGCAGATGCCAAACCTTCAGGGACCCCACTGCATGGAGATAGAACTCTTGGCCAAGCCAGAGAGCTTCAGAGTTCTCCCAGGGCCTCCTGTGGAGCCCCTTCCGACCCAGAACCCCGGACAGCCAGCACCTGGCCCCCTGCCTGGCCACATCCATTGTGCTATGGCTCCTCTGCCTGGCCCAGAGACACTGGGGCAGGCTCAGGGTGCCGTGTGGCATCAGGTGTCAACAGCTTTACGCACAGGCACCCCCCTCTGACACACACCTCACTCCCAGGAAATCCCCAGAGAAGTGGGGACAGCTGAGGGCACACAGACCCTGCTAGCCACAGAAAAGCACTGTGGCCTGACACCCTGCAGGAACTGCTACACAACCAAGGGACATGATGGCTTCACTTGGGGGGGCCAAAAACGAGGGGCACCGAGAGACATGCCACATCCGCAGACAGAGGTCAGGGAAGGCCACTGCCATGTGAGGCTCTGAGGCTTGCCTTCTTCATATGCGTCTCAGGGCTTGCAATATGCGACCAAGACCATGCATCGCGTGTAAACAAAAAGGCAGGGGAGCCACAGCTGTGGCTAGCAGCACACAGCCCCTGCTGCCACTCCTGTCCCAGGACTACCCCAGCCCTCCCCACAGCAGCCCTGTGCAGAGGCCTATATTGCCTCATTTTACAGACAAGAAAATTGAGGCTCATAGAGATTAAGTCACTTTCTCAAAGTCACACAGCAAAAAAAGGTAGAGCTTGCTTTCTCCCAGACATAAAAACTACCCACATTCCTTCACACAGGAAGGGCAGAGGAGACCAACCCTCAGTGCAGCCAAGCCCCTTCCCCATGGCGCCCGCCCTGCTTCATCCACTCCTCAGTCCCCAGCCACTTCTCAAGGCTGGTGTGGAAATTCAGGCTGCTGACATTCAAAGGGATCTCCACTCACTGGCCTTGCAAGCCCAGGCCAAGGGTGTTAACTTCCCTGTGCCTCAGTTGTCCACCTGTAAACATGTCATGTGTTCGCTGAGGCTTACTGGACATCTCATGTGAAGTGAGGCCCTGGCCCTCAGTGAAAGCTTAGGATGCAGTGGCCACCAGTGTCCCCACGTGCAGTTCTGGTCTCCTGGCCCCTACTGCCTGGCTGGTGCATGTGGCTGTCTGGGCTCTGTCCCCACTGACGGCTGCATGGAGCTGGCCTCATTGTTTCACACCCTTCTCTGCCCTCACCTGTGGCATTGCGGGGACACCGGACAGCAGCCACCTCTCCCGCTGGGGTCTCCTTCCAGACCACCGCCCCAAGGTTGTCCTCGTCACAGATCTCATGGGGCTCTGCCAAGGGGCCAGAGACAATGGGAGCAGTAGGGGCCAGGAAAGGGGAGCTGAGTGCTGGCAGCAGGCTCAGAAGGCTAAGATCCCTCTGAGAAGTCTGCTGTCATGCCCAAGCCCTGAGTCCTCCCAGTCCCCCCAGTTGTGGTGTGGGAGGGGTCTTACCAGGACACCGCTGGGTACTGCACTGCCGATACTCATCTTGGGGACCCTGGCAGGCCACTCCTCCGAAGAAGGGCCCAGAGCAGACACGTTCCCGTCGCTGGCTGCCACCCCCACATGTGACGCTGCAGCTGCCCCAGGACGCCCAGGCTTGCCACTTGCCGTCCACTGCAGAGTTGGCCATGGGGATGCAGGGATGTGGGGACCATAGCATAGGGGTGTGACAGAGAGACCCAGGAGTCCATGCCACACAGGTAGGGACATAGGACATGGGGATAGGGAGACACAGGGATCCAGGGGCGGGAAGCAATGGGAGAAAGGACATTGAGACCAGGAGAGGAGAAACCCAAGGTCAGCTGGATACAGGATGAAATAAATGCCTCACCTGTGCCTGCTTCCCAGTGGCCCCATGCCCTGCTGCACACCCTGCTCCCCCATGATCATATGCGGGGACCCACAATAACCCCCAAAGGGGCCTGTCCCTCCCTGGAGGCTCCTGTGAGCCCCCAGGCCCAAGGCAGCCCTGACCTGGGCACTGCTGCAGGAAGCAGTCTCGCGTCTCCACCCAGTGGCCTTGGCACTCAGCGCCCCCGTAGGAAGGCCCGTTGCACTCGCGTGTCCGCTGCTGACGGCCCTGGGAGCAGCTGGCCGAGCAGGCGCTCCAGCTCGACCACTCATTCCAGTTTCCGTCCACTGCCCGGCCCAGGGGAGGAGGAAGATAGGAAGTCGGCGTGAACACCCACACCCCATGGATTGTCCCGCGACTGGGGTGCAAACACCTTGGGGGGCCAGCACCCCAGCTCCCAGCGGGGGACAAAGGTGTGAACACACCAAGAGGCTTTGACCCCACACCCAGCCTGGGACAGGAGTGTGAACCCCCCAGGAGCCACCCCACCATGCAACCTAATACAGGGTATACCAAAAGTCCCCCCTAAAGCTGCCATACAGAGAGAAAAGTGGGAAATTATAGCTAAATGTATCTTTATTTAGCTATAAAGTATACATTACACAATTTTACAAAGAGGTGACCAATATGTGAAAATATTTTGTAAAATTGTGTAATGAATATTTTGTAAATAATAGCTACATTTAGCTGTAATTCCCCAAATTCCCCATTTTCCCTATGTATAGTGATTGTAGGGGTGACTTTTAGGACACTTGTACATGGCTGAGGACACACCCTAGGAACCCACCACTTAACATGGTGAGAACACCAGGTGAGAAAACCAGGCTCCTGGGACTGGCTCTGCCTGGCTCACTCACCCCCCATGGCCCACAGCGCCCTCCCTCTCACTTACCAGGGCACAAGGCAATGTTGCAGAACTTGGTTTGCTTTTCAGGACCCTCACAGGGGTTGCCTCCAAATTGCGGGGGCCTGCAGGTGCGTGTGCGGTCCCGAAAGCCACGCCCACAGGTGCTGGAGCAGAGGCTCCAGGGTGACCACTCATCCCAGGCACCATGCACTGCAGAGGGACAGAAAGGCGCCACTGCCCTCTGCCTCCCCCATCCCCAATGCTCCCGCCCCTGCTGCCCCAGTCCCCACCCCACTTGCTGCCCTGCCCCTGTGGCCACGCCCACCTGGGCATACTGCCGAGTTGTTGCACAGCCTCTGCTCACGCAGGGGCCCACTGCACTGCGTGCTGTAAGAGGAGGACACGCAGAAGCGCGTGCGGGTCTGCCAGCCCTCGCCGCAGGTGCTGGAGCACACGCTCCACGGGGACCACTCTTCCGCTGCTGGGTCACCTGTGGGCCAGACTATAGTATCATGGGCCTGCCCTTGCCTTATCCAGGAGCCACCCAGACCCCCCAGGAGAGGGCTATCCCATTGGGCACAGGCAACAGGGCCTGGGCTCAAGGATGGGCCATTTTCCCACTAGGACAGGAGGCCCTAAAGGCCATCTGTGCCTTCTCTGGGGCCCTGGGGTGTGGCCTGGGATAGGCCCCTTTACCTGACACCAGTTCCCCTAAAGCCAGTCTGCCTGAAGACAAGAGCCTGGTACTCAAAGGGTTAGTCTTATTATCGCAAGTTATTGCTTATAATGAGCAGCAATTACAAGTTGGTGGTGTTTTCCCGAGGACCTGGGGCTGTTCTTCCCCCCTCTGCTAGCTTACCAGTCTGGGGGGCTGGGAACCCGAAATGCTGCAGCTCATCCCCCAGATCCTCACGCCGCCGGGCATCTGTGGACCGCAGGGACTGGCTCCGGGAACTGCTGCGCCCAGCGGCTGCAAGACAATCTCAGTCAGCATCTGCCCAGAGCTCGAGGGGGACAGTCTCTGCCCAGGGTCTTCTCTGTCCTTGGCCATGGCAGGTGGAGCTTGCCAGCACCCAGGCCACCTGGCCCCACTGGACAGTTGGGAAATCACGGACCAGGGCACTGCCTGTCACCAGCTCCCATGTGATTAGGACCCCTTTCTGTGGTCCCCTCTCCCCTGCCCAACACCGCCCCCCTGCCTACAGGGCCTAGGCTGGTAGTCACTTGCAGGACAGTACCTCTGAGCAGCTGCTGCTGACCCCTATCACTGACCAGTGTCCTGCCACCCTCCTGGGGCCAGGCCCCCCTCAAGGCTCCTGACATGGGACCATTTCCCCAGGCAAGTTCATCAAGTTCATAGGACCATTTCCCCAGGCTTAAGAGTGACACCCTCATTTCAACTCAATTTAACTTTATGAAAGCAGCTAAGAAATGCATGAGGTCATTAGAGAGGCTTATTTTGGACATGCATTCCTGAGCCAGCACCCAGCTGGACAGGCAACCTGACCAGCACTCCCTAAGTTGTGGGGAGAGGACAGGCCCCACAGCCAGCTTTCCGTATGTACCCCCAAATCCTCAACCCACATGCAGACACCACCCTATTTCTGGGCCCTTACCTCCACAGGGCTGGCAGGGCTCAACCTCATGGCCCTGACCACCTTCTTCCCAGACCCCTTTCCCACAGGCCCTGCCCCACCCTACCCCACACTCACGGCCACAGGCCTTGCGGTTGCACAGGCGGCCCTCCTCTAGGACGCCCTCACAGCTGCCTCCCTGCACACCCGGTGTGGGCAGGCAGGTGCGGGTCCGAGTTTGCAGGCCTCCCCCGCAGTCCCGCGTGCACTCGCCCCACAGGGACCACAGCTTCCAGCCGCCTGGGGGTAACAGAGGGCAGGGGTCAGAGCGGGGCAGGGGCACAGTGGCCAGGAAGGGATCAGTCATGACCCAGAGGCATAGATGGGTCTGAGAGGCAGAGTTGCAGGAGAGGGCCTGGCTAGAGAGGGCCAGCTCCCCAAACACCCTCTGGAGAGATCAAGTGCCATTGAGCCCAGTGGGAGGTGGGGGTAGCACCTGGCTACAGCCCATCTTGGTTGCAGGAGGGATCCTGAAAGGATGCCTGCCTTCCACCTGCCTGGGATTGTCTATAGCAGGAGTCCTGGTGACAGAGCTGAAGGCAAAGGGGCCTCGGTTGAAGCCCAGCCCTCCATTCAGTTTTGGCCCCTTGCCTGCCCTGTTCCTCACAGCCTCAACTTGACCAGCTGTGACCTGTAAGCCACCACCCTCACCCCATACATGGATACCCGAGATGGCCAACGTCCCAAACTTAGTGGCCAGAGAGAGCCTCAAAGCCAGGGCCCAGCCTGACTGAGCCTTCCCTAGACTCAGCAGTTGGCACCAATGACAGCATCTGGCTTCAGTGGTCTGCATGCCCGCCACCGGCCACCCAGCCAGGTCTCTCATGGGTGCTCTGGGGTCACAGTATGCCCCTTGGACACCATTGTCCACACGGCTCCATCAGGTATTGACTTGGTCTGTACAGACCGTCCTGTCCCCAAAGGTAGCCAGAACCCCCTCCTCGTCCCTGCGCCTGTGCTAGGAGTCAACCAGCAGGGGGCGCCAAAGGCAAGTGGACGAAATGCACTGGAGGGACACAACGTCACCAAACTGTGGGGAGTGGGGGCTTCACCCCGCCCCCGCTGGGTGGATAGGATGGGTAGGGGAGTCTTCCATGGCCCTATGCCTGCTGTGCAGACTTCTCTACTTTCCCTCACAGAGCCCAGACTCCCACGGGTCCCAGAAAGGGAGGGCACTTAGGCTGAGGGCATCCAGCAGACAAGCCCCTACCAGGGGTCCTCAAACTACGGCCCGCGGGCCACATGCAGCCCGCCGAGGACATTTATCCGGCCCGCCGGGTGTTTTTGCCACCGCTGCCTGTCCTGCTTAACAGCCGACTCATCCCAGGGCCCACAGTCCAGCCCTCCAACAGTCTGAGGGATAGTGAACTGGCCCCCTGTTTAAAAAGTTTGAGGACCCCTGTTAGGCCCTGTGCTGAGGGATGGCGAAGTCCCCAGTGCAGCCTCCAACAGGGAGTTCAGGGCAGCTCCTGCCCACAGGACAGGCACAGGTGCCTGGTTCTGAGGTCACCCGTGACCGGCCCTTCATTGCTGACACATGCCTTAACTCAGGACAAGGAAAAGAACCAGGGTTTGAAGTGGTGATCAAATTCCAAGCCTCCCCCCACCTGCACTAAGGCTTCCTGCCATGACTGACTGGGGCCCAGGGCACTCTGGCCCTAGTAGTTTCACCTGTGAAAGGCATCTCATCCCATAATTCTGAGACAAAGGAGCAGAGGAGCCCAGAGAGGCAAGCCTGGGGACAAGGTCACAGTGGCATGTCCTGCTTGTGCCCCCCCACCACCCCAGCCCAGTCCCCACTCGGAAGCCTGAGTGACGTGGAAACTGGCAGTGGGTGGAAGAGAAAGGGTGTCCAAGCCAGGCTAATCGGAGGATGCCACTTGGTTCCCATGGTAACTGCTGCAGAGTGCAGCCTTTCGGGATAGACCCAGGTTAGTCCTCAGCTGCCAAAACACCCACTATTTCAGGGCTGGTTACCTTGGTGACCCAGGTGGTAAGGATGTGTGGTTGGGCAGGAAGAAGTGGGGGCACAGCAGGAAAGGGGGGGGACACTGGCTCAGAGGATGAACTGTCCCCCATCCTTGCCAAACTGACCCTGACTCTAGTCACAGTAAGACTTGATCCAGGTCATAAGCTGACTTTGGTCACAAGCTTAGCCTTGACCCTGGCTGAATACTGACCCCTTATTCTTGTCAGGCACTGCTTTCTTACCCTTGTTGCATACTGAGTCTTAATCTTCATAGACTGACCCCTGATCCTTGGGATAAAATCCCTGATTCTCTATCATATACTGAGCCTTGATCCCAGTTACATATTGATCCCCAGCCTTGGCATGCCCCCCATACTAATGGACACTCAGAAAATGGTAGCTGCTACTTTTATTATAATTTTTTGTTTTTAATCTCTGTTCCTACCCATAGCAGACTCTCAATAAACATTTGTCTAGTGAAGGCACCAAAGCCAGAGAGACAAATACCCAGGAAGGCCTCCTGGCACCCACAGTGGAAGGTACAGAGATTCTCAAGCCACCCTCTGCTGGGTGGCCACCATGTATCTGGCCTGGGTGGGTTTCCAGGGGGCAGTAAAGGAGTGGGCAGGTCTGGGGCGGGGGGCTGCCCCTCCAGGCCCGGAAAGAAGCTGCCATTCTTCCCCCACTCAATGCTCCCTCTGTCTGGAAGCCTCATTTCCATCTCATTAAGGGGATGAATAGAGCCAATTAATGGCCGCCAGGCAGCCTGGCCACCCAGGGGAAAGGGCACATGGTGAGGGGGCGCCTGCATCCTTCCTAACCTGGCTCCCCCTGGACTGAGGCCGTGGGCGCCCCAGATCTCACCTCCCATGCTGGCTGGGCTGGGGGTGCTGGGGAGTCCCTCCCTCCAGCAGGGCCTCTTGCTCATGGGGCTCTCCTTTGGCAGAGGGGAGCCATGTACTTCCAGCCTCTGCCGGCAGAGGTCTCCCTAGTCCAGCAGGTTGGGCAACACCCAGCCCTGCGGTCAGTTCCTGCCCATTCCTGCCCCTGCTAAAACAGCTGGGGTTCCCAGGCACCCAAGGCATGTTCCAGGGCCAATACCCCCAGGTCAGGCTCCCAGGAGGACCCCTACCTCCCCTGCTACCAAGTTAGAGCTTATTCTGGGGCACCAAGACCCCCCCTCAGAGACCTGGACGCAGAGCCCCTGCACGAGACAAAGTCTGTCCCCAGCCCAGCCCACACTGGCCCAGTGGGTCATCATTCAGCCTGCCCAGTGGCCTCAGAGCTGGGCACCCTCAGCCCACTGCCCTCTAGGCCACTTCCCAGATCAGGCTGAGAAGCTCTGTGACCCTGGGTCTTTCCTGAGCCCCTCACCACCCTCTCCTTTAAGCTTCATGCAGGCCCTATAAGTAGGTACTGTCTCGTCTCCAACTCACAGAGGAGAAACTGAGGCTTGCTGAGTTGGCTGAGTTGGCAGAGTCTGTAGGGGGCTCAGGCTTCTCTGTCAGGCAGGTGCTTGCAAACCTGAAAGCTTGGGGTTTACCGGGGGTACTTGGACACATCACTGCCCCCCTGGACCTCGGCTGTTAGGCAGCCCAGCAGAGGGGACAGCTGCTGACTCCACAGCCCTCCACCCCATCATTCGGGGAAGCGGACCATAGATACAGAGTGGATCTCCCAGCCTCTTTCTCGTGGCCTCCAAGCTGAGGTAGGTGCTATGCTCAGGGCTGGGCCAGCCCTGGGAACTTCTCTGTGAATGATGGCACCCATGTGAGTACCATTTCCATGCGGCCCCTTCCTGCTACCTCCCTCTGGAATGGGTGTTGTCTACGGTGGGGACTGAAGCCTTCTTGTTTTCTAGATTTTCTAAATTGGCCCTTGTGCAAAAAGAGCACTCCCTTGGCCAAGAGGGCAAAGCCAGAAGTCCCAGACGGTGGAGGCCCTGGCACCTCCCCAGGCCCCGCTGGACTCCCTGTTACCCCAGACTCCACCTAGAGTCCAAATCACACCAGTCTTGACTCTTCCCCAACTCCTTCAACCCCAGGCAGCCTCCAGATGCTCATTCCCAGTTGCTGGAGCCAAGCTGGACCCTGCTGCCTCCAAAGGCCTCACAGGAGAGTGTGGGAGTCACAGCCAGGTGGCCCCAGGGCTGAGCAGTGATGGCCCTGGAGGCAAGGGAAGGAAGGGGAGGTGCCCTGGACCTGCAGGCCAGTCACAGCTCCTCAGCCAGCATCACAGACCCCCCACACCCCTATAGAACGCACCGGCCTGGCAGAGTATACATGGTTCACACAGCACACCCAGCTCCACTTCCCACCTTCTCAGACACATAGGGGCACCACACACATGGGGCACGTACAGAGAGGCACACATACAGACACACTTGGGGAGATGCACAGACACACACAGGGACGTGTACAGAGAGGCACACATACAGACACACACAGGAAGATGCACAGACACACAGACACACACAGGGAGACGCAGAGACACACAGACACACAGGGACACACACAGAGAGGCATATATACAGACACACTCAGGGAGATGCACAGACACACAGACACACACAGGGACGTGCACAGAGAGGCAAACATACAGACAAACTTGGGGAGACACACAGACACACACAGGGACACACACATTCCGGCTCCCAGCCCCCAGGACGCTGCTTTTTCATTATCTTTCATGTTGCTTCTGCAATAAAATTCTTTAATTAAAACATGAATATTTAAAACAACCCTTGAGAGAAATGGCCCCATCTCATCAAAGGCAGAAAAATGCATACAGAGACAACGGGAGAGGCCGAGAGAGGAGAGACAGGCCAAGACTGGGGTGGGAGCAAGAGCCTTACAGGAAAGAGGTGGGGTGGGTGTCGGGCAGCAGAGGGAACAGTTGCTCTGGCCTGAGGAATGTTCACAGAGTCTGACGCGTGACCTGGCCATGTGGCATTTGGACAGGCCGGGCGGGGGGCAGGGCTGAAAATGGGCCACAGCCACTGCTGGGCCGCCTGCTTGCTTGGACAGGGATGGATGGACAAGCCTGTCTCAGTCTCCCTGTGGCCATAGTGAGGGACAAAGCTCCCTGGGCACAGGGCTCAGCACACAAGACCTGGGGGTTGGCCTCCTGCCCCAACTCAGCTGTGTGTGTTCTGGTGGCTGGCTGACCTCTCTGGTCCTTATGCCATCTGAGCTCCCTACCAACTCTCTGAGCACAGTTCGTTTCTTTTTTTTTTTTTTTAATTTGAGACAGAGTTTCACTATGTCACCCTCAGTAGAGTAGAGCTCATTTCAGAGAAAGACCCAGTGGTGCCAGGTGGCCACAAGTAGCCCAGGTAGTGCCACCTGGTGGTAGCATGAAGCAGCTGTACTGGGTGACCCTGGCCACTGCCATGATGTCTCTGTGTCTCTTACACTCCACAAGCATTTACTGGGTGTCTGCCCCATGCCAGCCACTGTGCCACACGCTGGGGGGGGACATCAGTGAACTGGCAAATACCCTGCTGTGTGCTGCTGACATCTTATTGCCAAAAGACAGGTGAAAATGGACACAACAAGTAGGGGAAGCAGCACAGAATGTCCCGGGGCACACGTCTGTGGGGAGGGAAGCAGAGACAGGATGGGTCAGAAGGCTGGGCTGGCTGTGGACATTTTAAACAGCACAGTCAGCACCAGCCTCGTGTAGAAGGAAATGCCTGAGTGTCCACTAGTTATTATGTGGCTGCTTCTAGCCCAAAGTAAATGCTCAATTAACAGCTATCATTATTCCTGCTAAGATCATTTTTGCTCCACAGCTTTGGAAGCATCAAGACTTCCTGGGACCAGGTGAGGGAGTAGGGTCTGAGATGTCTCTAGGCCTGCCCTCCCCTCCATGAACGTGATCTCCCTGCTTTGAGTGGCTGCCAACCAAGTGCAGGTGCTCCCCAGACCATGGTTCCAGACGACTGGCCCTGCCTCCCAGCCTCTGCACCCTGCTGTGTCAAGATGCTGCGCAGAGCCTGGCCTTGACACATGCACACACATATGCTCACACACATGTATATATACCTGTATATATATACACACATAGGCAATGCACTGCACACATACTGTGCCTGCCATGTGCCCAGATGCACGTGAGCACATGAATATACAATGTATTGCACACGTGCACACAAAACAGTGCACACGTGGACACACAAGTAGACCTTGCATGCACACATTCATGGGTACTTGCACACTGTGCTCACATATGCACCATGTGCTACACACACGCAAGCACATGCACACACACACATACAAATGCACATGTACCATACTTGACCACATGTTTGTGTGAACACGTAAACTTTCCCACCTGCTTCTGAGCACCACGCCCAAGAACCCCCTTTCTCAGAATCCCTAGCTCACCCTACATCACCCAAACCTGACCTGCACACGTCCCTGCCTCTGACCTGCAGCTGCTCCCTGAGTACTCTAGGGTCTCCCTGCCTAGTAGTAAATGAGCACACTGATGTCTTGTCATCAGCATTGCTTCAGCTCAGAAACACGCGCCCCAGCACTATTCCTCATGGCAATCTAGGAAAGCAGATATTTTTATTCTTCCTGTTTTAAAGATGAGGGGCCCTGGGGATGAGACAGCTGATGGAGCTGGCTCATGGATCTGAACTCAGACCCTGGGGCTCTGCATATTTGGCTCAAATGCCATTTTCAAGCATTCATTGCCCTGGCCTGGCCCTGTTCTGGTGCTCCAGCTGCCCGAGCTTCCCGCTTACAAGACACTACCCAATGGCCCATAGGCATCTCACACTCAAGTCCACTATGGCCCCTGGCTCTTCTTCCTCCTGACCCCCCATCCCAGCTTCCCCACCTTGGATTACATCCTTATACCAGGCCAGAAGCCTGGGAGAGGTCTAGCCTTCCCCTGACTCCTGCAAACATCCTTTCATCAGTGGGTCACCAGTCCCACCTGCAAGGCTGTCCTCTTCCCTCCCTCGGTATCCGCTCCCTGACCAGGCCAGCATCAAATCCCCCTGGACGTCCCGGGCTTCCCCTCCAACCCGGCATCTGTTCTACAATCAAAGCCTCAGCATCTTGCAGTTCTGCCTAAAGCCCTCCAGGGCCCTTCAGTTCTCCAGATAACATGCAGAACACTGGGAGGAGAAGGCTCCACCCTCAGTCCAAAGCTCCTACCAAGGTCTGCAGGTAGCAGGTGCTCAGCACAAGAGTTCAGGTGTCCTCCAATGCCGACTGCACTCCTCTACCAGCCAGAGTGCAGTGACAGCGCTCAGCTCTTGCCAGCAAGCTCTACGCTGCCTGTGTGAGGCTAACAAGGACCAGCTCTCTCATAGTAGATGTGATCATGTCCCAAGCCCCTGAGGTCTGTCGCATCCAATTTGATGAAACAACCCTGCAAAGTAGTCAGTATTTTGCAGATGAAGGAGCCAAAGCTCAGAAGGGTTAAGTGGCCAGAAGCAGCAGGGCACAACATGGCAGGGTCTGCCTGTACCTCCCAGTGCCACACCAGCCCACTGGCCCATTGCTGTGCTCCTCATAGAGGCCCAACGCTCTCAGCTGCAGGCTCTCTCCTCTAAGACTTCCATCCCTGCCACACCACAGAAGCTATCTTTGCCAAGGTCATGGTGACCTCCACTTTGCCAGGCCAGAAGGCTGGTCCTTAGCCCTTCCTAGCTGACCGCTGGTGGCACCTATTGCAGCTAATGAGCCCATCTATCTTGACTCAGAGTTTCCACTTGGTTTCCTGGGCCTTTATAGCCAAGGAGACGGCCCCCTCCTTGGGCAACTGGAGAGATTAGCTGAGCCTCAGGCTCCTTTCCTCCCATCCTGTTCCCCTCTGTCCCTGTTCCCAGTCTGCATTTGGAATCTGAGATCCATGACCCAGGGCCAGGAATGGATCTGTGCTCCAGGATTCCTGGCTAACCCTGCAGATCCTACTTTATGCCTTTAAAGACATTATTTTGAGGAGTCCATAGGCTCCTGGTGTCTGCCTGTCCTTGAGAGCTTCTATGCCCCATGTCAACCCTCCTGGCAGCAAATACTAGGCTAGCCTGAGTGGCATATGCACCACCAGCCCCTGCCTGACACGGCAGACTCAAGCCCCTCAGATGCTCCCACACCCACATCCCATCTCAGTGCAACCCCAGAGTCTCAGGCGCTCTGACCAAGACCCTGGCCACCTTTTCTCTCCCACATGTCTTAGGTCAGCAAGGTGGCCTGCATGCTCCAGGCATATGCAACACTGACCTCCTGCACCAGGCTGGTCAAGGCCATTCCTGTGCAGGCTCCAAGGGCTGATACCCCACAGGACCAACCTGTCCCCTCTACCTGAAATTCCATTCTCTCATAGCTCCCAGAACTTTGAGCAAGGTCCCCTGGTCCAGGTACACAGCAGTTGCACAATAAAGGCGGCCCTGTCACTGCTCTCAGGGGTCTCCTGTGAGGTGCATCCAGCCAGGAATTTCAACTCCTCACCCTGGAGGACGGTAGGCCCTACTGCTCCTTCCCTCATGCATTCATTCAATGCTGGACAAGAACCTACCAGGTGCCCAGCCCTATGCCCTGGGCCCCAGCTCCCTGCCCTGGGCCCACCATGGTGAACTTGAACTGTGTGCTCCCCAGTTGGAGATGGGGGGTGGTGCTGGCCAAGCAGCCTGGATACCTTTCCACCCCACCCCATCCATAGAGCCACCCCCAGCTCTTCTCCCGCAGCCTCTCACCTGCGGTGCCATGCCCCCCTCGGTCCTGGGTGAGGCTGGTAAGGCAGTTTTCAGGGCCTCCGGCTACAGAGTCTCTCAAACAGACATCCCCATGGGGGACCAGGGTGCCGGAGGCAGGGTCACCAGTGTCACCGCCCAGGCAGGCACAGGGTGTCTGCATGATGCCACAGGGGTGTGAGCTGCGGCTGCCGGCCAGACAGGCGTCTAGCCAGCGGCACAGCATCTGGCAGGCGGCCCGGCTGGGATTGCGGTTGCCCACAACCAGGTACTCCACTGAGAAGTCATCGCTGGGGCCCAGGGGCCCGCCCATGAGGCCAAGGTCAGGGTCGTGGGGAGGCAGCTGGCGGCGCATCTGCAGGAACTGCTTGCTGGCCTGCAGGAAGGCGAGGGGCGCAGAGGGATCACACAGCCGTAGCACCTCGTCGAAGCTCTCCACGCCCAGGTAGGTGCGTGTGGACTCCAGAAAGGAATCGAACTGGTAGGTGTGGACGCGGCCTGGGCCGCTGCAAGGCGTGGGTGCCTTGGCCACCTTCATGTAGAGCGTGTAGCGCCGTGGGTCCGGGTTGCGCAGGGTCCAGGAGCAGCGTGAGGCATTGGCTGGGAACACGGCAGCCGCTGAGAAGTAGCCAAAGAACTTGCCCTGCACTAGTGTGGCACACGGCTGGGCCCCGGGCCCCGCTTCTGCCCCAATGGCCGCACGTGCTCGGCGCCCCAGCAGCAGCAGCAGCAGCAGGAGTGGGGCGAGGATCCAGACAGGGCCTGGGGCGGCGGCCTGGCCCCTCATCCTAGCTCTCGCGGCCGCCGGGCTTCTGTCGGCTGGGCAGGCAGGTGCGGGCCAGGCCTGGACATGCCAGGGTCCAGCAGCAGGCAGGGACAGGGGGCTGGGAGTGTGAGTATAGGACAAGAGTAGGGTGGGGAGAGAGCCTGGCTTCAGGGAACAGAGAGGGCAGCGATGGCTTCGCAAGTCCAGGGCCCTGGTACCTGCCAGTGGCCACCAACAGCAGCTAGAAGAAGAGCAGAAGGGTAAGAGTGAGCCCCTGAGGAGGTACAGGCTGGGGGCATGACCTCTCCACACATCCTGGCTCTCAGTGAGGGCAGGGGGGCTGTGGCCACACACAGGCCTGGTGCCTTCCCAGGCACCTGCTCAGTCCACCTGTGTCTGCTATCCACCAGCACATCCACTTACAGGGGCAGGGACCAGTCAGGGCAGCTAGGTTTCTCATGCCCCACCCAGGCCTGAGGGTCTCAGCTGTGTCTGTCAGGCCAGGCAGCCTGGTGCGGCTACTCTGAGGCTGACGCTGTAATCACAGAGCCTGGGTCTCTTAGCCTCTCTGCTCCCTCTCCTGGCTGTCCTTTGTCCCCATTCATCAACCTTCTCCCAGCAAAGATTCTGCAAACCCAACGAGAAGATAAGTGGGAGGGAAAGTGGAGAAGAAAGGTCACTCTGACCATGACCCAGCCTCATGCCCCTCTAATGCCTGGAGGGTACAGACACCCAAAGCAGGAATGTTCAGATCCTTGCACCTGCCATGGCTGTCATCAGCCAGCCTCCTGCCTGTCCTATCTGTTCCCCTCATTCACCTGCCAGGCAGTCTCCCTTCTGGGCCTGCCACTCACCTTCAGTGCCAGGCCCCCCTCGCCCCATTGCTCCAGACAGCTCCCAGAGCAAAGCCTGAGGAGGGACAGCAGGTGGAGCCACCAGGAACCACCTTGCCCCACCTCTGCCTGTGAGGCCAGCACCATTACTCGTAATTTTGTGATGGGGAAACTGAGGCTCAGAGAGAATAAGGCCACAGAGAGTGGGTGGCAGAGCCCCAACTGGCCCCAAACTTGTGACACTGGGTGATATGTCTCCATTCCAGTAGAGGGCCCTGGCTGGGTGACTATACACTCACACTGGCTACATATGAGCCACAGGTAAGCTGGGACACAGCAGAGCCACCTGGTTGTAGGCCTAGACAAATTTCTTCTGTCTCCAGACCTCAGTGTCCCCACTGTCCCCAACACCCCAACCCAGGCTGTCCATCCCACCCAGGTGCCACACTAGTGGGGAGGGAGGGGAAGCTATAGCCAGTTCCCTCCCCCAGCCCACCCGGCCTCCTGGTATGGACACTCCACTCTGCTGACCATGCACACGCCGGCTGCCCGCCCATGCACTTGCCACTTCCTGCTGTCCGGGCCCAGCTGGCCAGAGACACAAGGTCAGTCACTGCTCTGCAGTCCCCTCCTGGCGTCCTTCCTGCATGGGCCTTGTAGGCAGAGTGAGACTGGGCTCAGGCAGCCTCTGGGCCTGGTCCCAGCCTCAGCTGAGTCTCCGAGCTGATGGGAGTTAGGACGCTGGCAGCTGGCTTGGGGCTCCACCTTTTATGGCAGTGTGGCCTCTGGCAAGTCCCTCACTGCAGAGCCTCAGTTTCCTCATCTGTAAAGTAGGAGTGGGAGACTCACTGCTCTCAGCAAGAGGGTAAGAGCTAGATGGGGGGGGGGGCCCAAGGTGTTTAGCCAGAGAGGCACAGGAAGTGACCCTAGCAGGGAGAGGAAGCAGGCAGGGGTTTCTGGGTTCCCAGGGAGTCAATGTGGCCAAACTCAGCCCTCTGAGGTCTCTTTAGTGACAAAGCTTCAGCCCTTCCACAAGGGAATTTTTTTTAAAAGCACAAACCAACAATTCAAGCTTCTCCGCCTGACACATCTGGGGTAGCCCTGGGAGATGCTGCCCATGGCCACTACCTTCCAGAAGCCCCTCCTCTAACCCCACCCTGGACACACTGGTGGTTTGGGCATGACCTCCCTTCTGTGCACATGGGCATTGAAGAGTCCACCTGCCCTGACCACCCACTTCATCTCATAGAGTGTAAGAGCCATAGCCAGGGTACCAGGAGGCAAAGGCAGTGCTATTTGCTTGGTGGCTCCAACTTGGAGCTTTACCTGAGTCTAGCCTAGCCCAGTTTCGGGGCCCTCTCCCCCACTCCCAGCTGGGACCTAATGCCAAGGCTGCCATCAGGCCCGGGCTGGAGCCCCATCCCTGAGCAGGCTCCTCCCTAATACCCCCGAGTCCCAGGAATCAGCTGCAGCCTCAGGTCAATGTCACAAAGCCCAGGAGAAACTTCAGTCCCACCTCTCACCTTGTGGCAGTGTCCAAACTATGACCATCCCCTGCTCATGGTGCCAAGAAGGCCTCAGGCAATTCTGTCAGCCCTAATTCTGATTATGTGGCACCCCCAAATCCACCACTTTCCTCCTAGAGCAAGGGTCCTCAAACTTTTTAAACAGGGGACCAGTTCACTGTCCCTCAGACCATTGGAGGCCTGGACTATGGGCCCCAGGATGAGATGGCTGCTAAGCAGGACAGGCAGCGGTGACAAAAACACCCAGTGGGCCGGATAAATGTCCTAGGCAGGCTGCATGTGGCTCGTGGGCTGTAGTTTGAAGACACCTGTCCTAGAGGGACCTGAACAGCCTGAGATGCTTAGATTCCCCCTCCTCATCCTGGCCCCTGATGGGTCCACCCCATAGCCCTCCCAGATGGGGGCTGTCTCTGGGGTCTGAAATGTCAGGAGCAGGTGCAGAAGCCCAGATGCAAAAGCACCAGCCAGCATGGGCAGGCCTGTGGCCAGGATAAAGTCCTCTAGGGCCTCAGTCATCTTGTCTGGAAAATAGGTGCAGCCTGGAATAGACAGCGTCATATGCCTGGCCATATGGTGCTGGGAGAAGGGGGATCATGCCCACAACACTGTATGGACTGTGCCTGCCCCAGCTCAGTGAGAAAACACAGAAGAATCCATCTCAAGCCTGTGGCAGGAGACGGGACTGATGTTGAGAGCAATCCTGTGCCAGGAACTTTGTCTTTGAGGCAGAAATTCCAGGGGTAACTTGTTACGGCTCCATTTTACAGATGGGCACACTGAGGGCCTCAGAGCTAGCACTGGGCACCTAAGGCAGGGTTCTAGCCCAGGACTGTCAACCAAGCCTGTGTTCTCTGGGATTCTGCAGGGAGGCCTGTGGGGGCCACCAGGGAGAAGGATGGGGAGGAGAGCAAGAGGGCTCAGGTCACTTCCTGGCACCCCGATATCTCCTAAAATGCCTTGGACTCAAACTGCTCCAGCCCCAGGATTTGGGGCAGGCTCTGTTGGCCAAAGGCTGTCCCACCCAGCAAAAGGGAGTTTCACAACCACACAACTAGCCTGGCCCTGCCTTTTCTGGCTGGGCCACAGGGCAGAGCTGGGCAGGAGGCCCAGGCCGTCAGTGTGGACAGCGCCTATGCTTGCCAGCAGGCACTAGCCCCCTCCCCCCCACCTGCCACATACACCCTCTGACCAGCTCCCTGTACTCAAAGCCTTCCCGCACCCAGGGAGGCCCAGAACTGGCAGGGCTGGGGATACCAGGAACCACCTCCTTGGGCTTCAGTACCTCATGTCAGGCTGAGCTGACAGTCAAGCCACAATAAGGCAGGGCATCCAGGAGAGGTGCCTGAAGGTGCATGGGGGTCAGGTCTTGATCTGTACTCCATCCAGGGCTCCCTCTGCCTGCTAAGGCAGGGATGGGCCTGTGTAGCATCTAGTCTAGGGCAGTCAGTGGGGACAGAGGGTCACAGGAGACTTCCAGGGGCAAGTGGGGGAGGGGTGGTGACCCTCATTGAGATGGGAAGGCAGAGGTCAACCTGTGTGGGTGTTTGTGTGTGTGTACATGAGTTTCAGGGTGTGAATACTGCAGACATACACGTGGCATGCATTTATGAGTTTGCATGGCAGAGGGAGGGCCCCAGACCAGAGACAGACCCAGGGAGGGCGTATTTAGTGCTCCCCAAGGTTCAGGGGCCCCAGGAAAGGAGGACCAGGCCCAAAGCAAATGCTAGCTCTGCCTGGCACAGTGCCCTCTCTGCCCAGCCTGGCTCACACCTCCTCCCTTGGCCACACCAAGGAAGTCCAGCACTCAGACCGCCTCAGTCGGGAGGGTCAGGGCCCCTGTAGGGTTGGACCATTCAGACTCTGAGTGCCAGCGCTCAGCACGCACACGGAGCTTCTTTGACAAGGGTCTCAGAGAAGGTTAGAGACACAGAAGGTTAACCTTCTCAGAGAAGGTCATCTCCACAGGGACCTTGAAAGTAGAGACAGACTTTCATGGCTTATCTATGGCCAGCCCAGGTCTGGTTGCCTCAACCCACCGAAGGTTAGAGATCTGTGCACCTCCAGTCACAGGCGACAAGCAAGAAAGGCTATGGGCTCTGAGCCCTGGTGCCCAGGCCCAGTGTGGGCACTGGTGAGCCTCTCACGCGGTGTCCACAGCTTAGGTACAAGATGTCATCAGCTCTCTCAGAGGGAGCCGGCAACTGTATTGCCCGCCCCCCGCCATAGGCCCCTCTCTGGTAAAGGGTTCCCCATAATCTGCTGCCCTTCATTTTCCCAAGGACATTGACCAATTAGTGGCAAATCTCCCCCAAGGCCCCTACCACTCCTGTCACTCTCTTCAGGGTCACACTGCCCTTGTTGCCAGGCAGTTCTTCCTGGCGTCTAGCCCCCATCCCTCCTGCTACAGAAGATGCTAGCTGGCTTCTCTGGGAGCAGAGCACTCTCTGCCTCTCAGAGCCTGCAGAGTGGCCTTGGGTGAGATGGGGACTGCACAGGGCTCTGGGCAGGGCTGACAGGGTGGAGGCCACCAGGGCTGAGAGAATAGAGGCCAGAGGGGTCACAGCCAGGAGGAAAGATCCCCTAGCCTGGGGTTCACAAGCACTGATTGCAGGCCAAGACAGGCCTAGCAAGGCAGGGGACCCCTTGGTCAACCTCACAGCCT